GATCATTTGTGTTTATATTGAGACCATTTTCTTAATCAGGATCATTTGTGTTTATATTGAGACCATTTTCTTAATCAGGATCATTTGTGTTTATATTGAGACCATTTTCTTAATCAGGATCATTTGAACAGAATGTTGATATTTTTGCATTCATATCTGAGCTGACAACTTTAGAATGGTGGATATTGAGATAAATGCTTGATCCTCTCTTTTATCTTAATAACGAGATTAACCTAATCTTGTACTTGTATCCAGAAAAGTGTATACAATTCTTGATCTAATTATTCGATAATGTTTTAGGGTTGGTAAATAATTTGGAAAACAACTAAAAAGTTTAGCAACATGAAATAAAATAAAATAAAAATAAAAACTTAATAAGCTCCGGTATATGCAATATTATTTAATTAATTAACCACCTAAAATTTATTTTGTATTTCCGGAAGAAAAATTTCTGCCCGTGGCCGTGGGTCGTTTTTTGTTTTTGAAAAAAACTCCGTGAACTTACGAGGGTTTTAATCTCTTTTTTATTAATTTTCTCGACTTATATACCCAATAGCTAGATAAAAGTAAAATTTGTAGCGATCAAACCCGAATTCAATTCGGGATTAGCCTATGCCCATTTTTTTATTTTTCGCATACACTCCCTTTAATGAAGAAACAATTGATGATTGAATATTTGAATAGAGTTCTCCATGTTGTTCTAATACATATATCAGTTGGAAACATATATATCTATATTATTTATTTATTAAAACTTTCATCGTACATGCATTGTTTCCCTTATTTAANTAAAAAGAATAGAAAAGCTGTAGAAAGAATAGAAAAGCTGTAGAAAGAATAGAAAAGCTGTAGAAAGAATAGAAAAGCTGTAGAAAGAATAGAAAAGCTGTAGAAAGAATAGAAAAGCTGTAGAAAGAATAGAAAAGCTGTAGAAAGAATAGAAAAGCTGTAGAAAGAATAGAAAAGCTGTAGAAAGAATAGAAAAGCTGTAGAAAGAATAGAAAAGCTGTAGAAAGAATAGAAAAGCTGTAGAAAGAATAGAAAAGCTGTAGAAAGAATAGAAAAGCTGTAGAAAGAATAGAAAAGCTGTAGAAAGAATAGAAAAGCTGTAGAAAGAATAGAAAAGCTGTAGAAAGAATAGAAAAGCTGTAGAAAGAATAGAAAAGCTGTAGAAAGAATAGAAAAGCTGTAGAAAGAATAGAAAAGCTGTAGAAAGAATAGAAAAGCTGTAGAAAGAATAGAAAAGCTGTAGAAAGAATAGAAAAGCTGTAGAAAGAATAGAAAAGCTGTAGAAAGAATAGAAAAGCTGTAGAAAGAATAGAAAAGCTGTAGAAAGAATAGAAAAGCTGCAGAAAGAATAGAAAAGCTGTTAAAAGAATATAAAAGCTGTTGAAAGAATAGAAAAGCTGTAGTAAAAATAGAAAAGCTGTTAAAAGAATTGAAAAGCTGTAGAAAGAATAGAAATGCTGTAGAAAGAATAGAAAAGCTGTAGAAAGAATAGAAAAGCTGTGGAAAGAATAGAAAAGCTTAAGAAAGAATAGAAAAGCATTAGAAAGAATAGAAAAGCTTAAGAAAGAATAGAAAAGCTGTGAGGAAAACTGTATAATTTTTGACACGTCTGATTCCACCGTTTATAATTTTGATAGATAGATTCTTTTCGATGAAAAAAGAAAATGAAGATTTATCAAGGAATGATCTCTCAAGGAATTTAAAAAAAAATGAATGCTTTATTCCTCCCTACCGCCCCCCTCATTGCTACTCCTTACTTCCTCACTTGTCATTTTTAAGACGAAAACCCCTAATTATTTACCTCTCCATTTCCTGTCATTTTGCTTTTTCTTTTGCTAGTATATGACGTTTCTTTCAATTTAAAAGGGACTGCAGAAGGGGGGAGTGAGGAAGGGGGGNATCTATCTATCTATCTATCTATCTATCTATCTATCTATCTATCTATCTATCTATCTATCTATCTATCTATCTATCTATCTATCTATCTATCTATCTATCTATCTATCTGGAAGTGGTTAAATATTGGGTTGAACTAGAAATTCGTGATTAAAAAACAATTAAATTTTCACCCCCCTTTATACCTCTCTATCTATCTATCTATCTATCTATCTATCTATCTATCTATCTATCTATCTATCTATCTATCTATCTATCTATCTATCATTATATATATCTATCTATCTATCTAGATCATGTCTGAGTCCAGGGCTGAATCTAAGGAAAACCTAAATGAGAGTAGTTTACCCCTGCTAGAAGAAGAGGAGAAGAAGGTAAACTAAAATAGACAGAGTCGTACCCAGGGGGGGGGGTATTGGGGCTTAGCCCCCTGAATCAGTGAAATCTGTGGTTGTTACCACACTTTCAACAGATAGAAACTAATAACATACTTTGAAATTGTTTTCATAAACAATTTTTTTATTCAAATTTTGACATTTAAAGATATGAATGCACGGACTCAATGATTCCCAGAACTTCCTCATTTCCTCCCCAAATTTAGACACAAATGTAGATGTTTTTATTTGTTTACTTTTAGGAGACATACTCTTTATTTGTTTACTTTTTTGGAGACATTCCCTTTATTTTTTTACTTTTTAGGAGACATTTTCTTTATTTGTTTATTTTTAGTAGACATACTCTTTATATGTTTACTTTTTAGGAGACATATTCTTTATTTGTTTACTTTTTAGGAGACATTGCCTTTATTTGTTTACTTTTTTAGAGACATTTTCTTTATTTGTCTATTTTTAGGAGACATTCTCTTTATTGTTTACTTTTTTGGAGTCATTTTCTTTATTTGTTTACTTCATAGCAGACATTTTCTTTATTTGTTTATTTTTAGGAGACATTGCTTTTATTTGTTTAATTTTTAGGAGACATTTTCTTTATTTGTTTACTTTTTAGGAGACATTTTCTTTATTTGTTTACTTTTTAGGAGACATTGCCTTTATTTGTTTACTTTTTAAGAGACATTTTCTTTATTTGTTTATTTTTAGGAGACATTCTCTTTATTGTTTACTTTTTAGGAGTCATTCCCTATATTTATTTACTTTATTGGAAACATTCTCATTATTTTATTTGTTTATTTTTAGCACCACATTTTCTTTATTTGTTTACTTTTTAAGGTTGAACAAATGGAGCTGGAGGAAAAGAAAGATGAAAGCGAGAAGAAGGAGGAGAAAAAGGAGAAAAAGGAGAAGAAAGAGAAGAAAGAGAAGAAGCCTAAAAAGGAGAAAAAAGAGAAGGTAAAAAGTGTCACAGCATGTTAATATTATGACAAATAAATTAAAGAACATTGACGAAAGATTTCAAAAACTTCAAACTATCGCTTTTCAAAACCAAACGTTGTTTGATAAAGTAGTTAAATAAGTTGTTTAATTCATTTAGTTTCTGTACGATAAAACAAAAATAAAATTTATGAAATGATTTTAGAAAAATTGAATTTTGACGTTTTCATTAAATTGACGCACTCTCCCTTTTACCTCTGAACTGTTAAGGTGGCAGGTCCAGGATGTGTTGAAGGGTTGACAGGGTCCCTGGATCTGGATAACAGAGACAAGAATAGTATCTGTCAGGAGATAGATATAAGTTGAGACCATTTTCTTAATAAAGA